TTCAGAAGAGATGTGTGTGTGTTACATACAGCAGAGATGTGTGTGTGTGTTACATTCAGAAGAGATGTGTGTGTGTTACATTCAGAAGAGATGTGTGTGTGTTACATACAGCAGAGATGTGTGTGTGTGTTACATTCAGAAGAGATGTGTGTGTTTCAAGCTCTTGTTTGTTCTTGGCCTGTTCCATCCAAAATTTTTCTACAGATAACTTTAAAAATGAAAATGTCTTTAGGGTTTGTCGCAGGATGTCTGAGTGTCTTTCTGCTCAGAGACTGAGGAGTTTGTCGGCACCCTGGGACTTTAGTGTTTAGCGTGGAGTCTGTGTCGAGTGCTCGATTACTTCTGGGATTTACTGACTGACTTCGTTTTTCATTTACTGAACAAATTCAGCTGTTTCTTCAGACTGGGAGCAGCTTTCATGCTTCTCATTAGCCGCTTCATCTTGTCACTTTGGATCGATTTATATCGTCGCCCGCTGGGCCTCGGTCTGGCGTGTCCGTGCTGCGCTGCGTAAATATCGGCCGTTTGCGGCACCGCACACACACACACACACACACACACACAGCGAGTGCGTGTGTGTCCTGTCCGTCTGCCTGTGGGAAGAAGTCCTCAGCGAAAGCCCGGTAATTCCCAGCCTATCTCTTTAGGGGCCCCGCGGAGCCCGGCGGGTCGGGGTCAAGGAGCCCTGCATTAACCCCAGAGCGGCGGGAGTCCGACTCGCTTAATCACAGTGATTACACGGGGAATCGGCCCGTTGCCGCCTGGCCACGCCATCCATTCATGGGCCTCCACCCCCCCCACAATGGAGACCCTCCTCGGCATCCAGCTCCCCCTCCCCCACCGAGGATTATTGAATCACAGGGGCCCCCGATTGACAGCCCCTGCCGGCCTCACCTGAACCTCCGGTTGCTCCTGGCACCCCCGACCCGCGGCACCCCCGCCTGGGGATTGACGGCTGGCTTGACCCGTGCTGCGCTTGTTGTCGTTGCACCGTCTCGCAAACATGAGAGATGCCTGTGGCGTGGGGGAGGGGGGCAGGGACCGCTTTTGCCTGTCAGACGCAGATGTGCCAAACGCTTGCATTTATTTCCCATTCCGCATGCTGACAGAGCTGTTACACTCACAGCTCTGTGTCACTGGGTGCATATCAGCCAGTCCTGAACCAGCACAGCATAAACCTAATTACTGTCTGTCTGTCTGTCTCTGTCTGCCTGTCTGTCTGTCTCTGTCTGTCTGTCTGTCTGTCTGTCTCTGTCTGTCTGTCTGTCTGTGTGTCTCTGTCTGTCTGTCTGTCTCTGTCTGTCTGTCTGTCTGTCTCTGTCTGCCTGTCTGTCTGTCTCTGTCTGTCTGTCTGTCTGTGTGTCTCTGTCTGTCTGTCTGTCTCTGTCTGTCTGTCTGTCTGTCTGATCTTCCCAGCCATTTACTACCACAGGTCTCTGCTGTTCTGGTCACACTAAAGCTTTAGGTTGGGATTAAAAACAGTGGCCTCTACAGCGTTCCGGAAGCTTGCAGCTCCAGGACTGACAGGCTTTTCCTTGGGTCTTCCACACAATCGTGTTCACCATGGGCCTCCGCCCTCCTGTAGACGTCTGTAATTATTTCGTTTGGCTTCGGGACGTCCAGACGCTGCTTTAATCGGGGAGGATCAGAGGCGCGGGATGGGTGGGGATGCTGGACGTCAGGGAGGAGACAGACACAGCCCCCCCCCCCACCCCCACCCCCTCGGAGCGGCCAAAGGCAGCTCAGCAATTAATTTGTCTTTCTGACTTCGCAGGGGTGCCTGTAATGCCGGACCGTCGTCACGCGGAGTTCATTTAAATTTCCCTTTCAATCGCAGCAAATTACCAAGGTGATAAATCAGAGCGCGAGGCTTCACTCGCCGACTGTAATCGTGGCCCTAATTCCCGGCTAATTATCCCGAGCAGGCACACCAGATCAATAGCACAACAAGACGGGGGCATGGGGGGGAGTGACAGCCGGGGGGAGGGGGGGTAACCCCACCATCACACCCCATCGTGGCGCGGCTCCTCGACCCTCTTTCCGTCTGCCTTCCCTCTCTAGCAGTTTAAAGGTTAAACAGGGGTTAAAGGTCGATGCTGGGTGCTGATGGGGACTGCAGTCATCGACAATTAAGGGCCCCCCCCAGCTTCCCACACCTGTCTCTCAGTCACCAAGGGGTCCATTTGCATGGGTCCCCGAGGTTACAAACAGTAACCTCCAAGGTGACTTTTTTAGTGGGGTCGTGAAAATGACAGACACCCCTGGGTGGACATGCCTCGTGGGGCGACTCTGACTCACACGCAGAGTCTGGCCCCGGGCCCCTCCCGCCAGAACTCCCATCTATAGTGCCTCTACATTGGATTCGGATTTGATTCCTTTCACTTAGCAGCCT